GATTTAGGTGATTGTTCTTTGGTCAGCTTCAAATGACTTCCCAGTGGGGTACTTCTAGGCTTGGTCTTCCCATCATTCATCTTGAATCTCTCTAACACCTTCCCTATGCATTTCTCCTGGGACAATGTTAGAGAACCATTCTTGTTTCTGATGATGCTCATCCCCAGTATCTCTTTGGTTGGACCCAAGTCTTTCATCTCAAATTCATGAGACATTTCTTTTTTCAATTTGCTTATTTCTTTCATATCAGATCCTGCAATCAACATATCATCAACATATAGCAATAAGATGATATAGGAGTTGCAGAATTTCTTCAAATAGCAACAATGATCCATCTCGCATCTTTTAAACCCAGATCTCTCCATGAAGTTATCAAACTTCAGGTACCATTGTCTAGGTGCCTGTTTAAGACCATATAAGCTCCTTTTCAATTTGCAGACCCAATTTTCTTTGCCTACAACTTGAAACCCTTCAAGTTGTTCCATGTAAATGTCTTCATCTAGATCACCATGTAGAAAAGCTGTTTTCACATCTAGTTGCCCTAGATGTAAATTCTCTGCTGCTACAATGCTCAAAACTAACTTGATGGCTGTCATTTTCACCACTAGAGAGAAAATCTCATCATAATCAACCCCCCTTTCCTGCTGAAATCCCTTGACCACTAAACGGGCTTTATACCGTTTTGACCCATCATGCTCTTCTTTGATCCTGAAGACCCATTTATTCTGTAATGCTCTCTTACGTCGCGGAAGCTTAGCCAAAACCCAAGTTTTGTTCTTTTTTAGAGAGCTCATCTCGTCCTTCATTGCATGCTCCCACTCGAGAGAATCTTTCATCTTGACTGCCTCGGAGTAGCTTTTTGGCTCATCATTTTCTGTCAAGAGAATATAATTAACTGAAGGACTATACCTATCTGGCTTCTTTGTAACTCTGGTGGACCTCTTGACCCACTGATCAGTTTGGTCAGATGGGAATTGTGTTAGGAATCAGAGATCAGAGGCAGTCAAGCGGAAGCGAACAAACACACACACACACACACAAATAAAAGAAAATAAGAACACGAGATTTAACGTGGTTCGGTCAATAACCTACTCCACGGGTTGCAACTAGGATTTATCTTTTATTAGGTGCTCACAGATTATAGTTACATGATTGGGTATTTATAAGATATAAATTAGGGTTAACAACTTGCTAAACAAGAAACAACTAATGGGCCCTTTAATTAATAACTAAAACCGGCCCCCATATTTCTTCTCTTTAACCGACCGGGCTTAAAGCCCAAAGCTCTAAAGCCTTCACTAAATAACCCAACAATCTCCCACTTGAAGGATTTCGCATAGACACAAATGCCATCCATGTAAACCCATCATGAGTAACTCCGTAATCTTCACTGTCAAGTCCTCCAAGCCTCCAGTTCCCAAGAACAAGCTAAGACTCCAGTTATATCCCTTAGTTGCAACCACCCCCTTCATTAATAACCTGAAAGGACAGTTGAAGCTCCACCGAGCTCCAACCCAGTCATCCGCCACAGCCTCTGTCTCAACCGGCTTGCACAATGCACCGGATCCAGAGATACACCGAGGACCATTACCACTCTCCAAATCCAGCAAACTATTCCCAGGAGAGATTTTAACGTTCGGATTCTTGGTCCTCAAAACCCAATGACGTAGGTGTAGGGGAAGAAATGGAAATGGTTGTGGCAGCTTGTAAGGGGTTTGGTGTTGGGGTTTTTGGGAGGGTTACATGTACTGGTTCTTGTGGAGAAAATGGCATGGTTGTAGGAAATGTTTTGAAGGTGTTTTTGGGTACCATTTGTTGGAAATCTCTGGGCAAGAACCTCTTGATCAAGAGCGTTCTCATCTTCT